GTATTGGGGCGGTCCCTATGTCATGGGACAACTTTGCTATTTTTAGAACAAATTGCGCCATAGCGTGCACCGTGCGGCACAGTGCGTACATGCTGACTTTGGCTTACAAGGTTCTTGTCCTCACAATTGACATGGTACGGTGCAGATGTCTTGCGTTGTTGTTAACTAGTATCAAAATTGTTCGGTACCAACTTTAACTCAAAGTGTAAGAGCATGTCTCCAAAGCAACTGTCCACCACTTTTCTGTACATTAGTTATTTCTTTATACAGTAGGTACACGTCAAAGTGTTGGTATTTCGTCTGCTTTTGCATCTGTAGGCAAATGTCAGCACTGGTAGTTTTGAATTTGCATTTTACATTATGTGTGAAACTCAGAGCTGCTTTGTAATGAAGATAATTTTTCTTAAAATTGTAAAGAAACTGCAACCTGCAACCCATTCTCGAAATTGTCGAGAGCCACCTTAAGTCTTAAATAAACAAAATAAAAGTATACACATTTGTTCTGTTACTGTTCGGAGAAGTTATTGGCGATGGCCCTCTACATGATCAATTTGTCTAGGCAGACACACAGAAGACGTCTTTACTTTGTCGTTTTACGAGGGGACTCTGGACGTATAAATGTTATAATTAGTTCAGTTATGGAGTAGTTTAGTTCTCTAAAAGGTTGCAGTTTCTTTACAATTTTAAGAAAAATTATGTGTTATTGATATAGCCTTCTGTATGATCAATATTTGTATAGGCGGCCCTCACGGAAGACGTCTGCACATAGTCGTTTTACGAAACGACTATTATAAATGGCAGTTAATTAGTTAAGTTATGAATTAGCTTAGTTATCCAAAAAGGTTCTAGTTTTGTTAGAATTTGAAAAACAAACAAAGAAAACATTTCGCCCCTAACCCTCACGCTTGACCCTTTACCCTTACCTTTGACCCACGACCCGCGTTTGAGCAACGCCGCCCATTTGGCCGTAAAGAAAATGGTTTGGTTTTAAAACATGCTCATCGTTGGGATCGCTGCCACAATAACCGAGCGGGCGGGAATTCAAAATTCCTTCTACTTCGACCACCGCGGTCAGTAGCTGTTCATCCGTAGTTCTGGACTCTCCAAGGATTGCGCGTAGAGCTTTTTTTTTCGAAAATTCCTCCATGATGCGATCCACCGAGGGGGGGTGGGGGGTTAAATCGCCACTGGATTCCGTAATGAGCCACCTGTTCTTTGATCCGAGTTTGATCCAAAGTCGAAACTAGGTCACGCAATTCTCTTTCAGCTGACGTGAAGTTCGTACCATTGTCAATAATCATCACCTCCGGTTTTCCACGTCTGGCGACCATTCCGGAAAATGCATTAAGAAAGCTGGCTGTATCCAGTGAGTAAGTAATTTCTAGATGGTCTGCTCGTGTGCTCACACAGGTAAACAGGCGCAGATAATGCTTCGCAGTCACCTTTCTAGTCAGCTTAATGACAATTCCACAATGAGCAAAACATCGCAATGATGTGCCAAGTCTGGCTTCAGGTAGGGGTGCAATGATTTGTTCACCTCTGCGTTTTCTTCCAAGTTTGCAGACATAACACTCTCGTTTCCATCGCTTAATTTCTTCTCTCCCATTGACAATCCAGTAGTTCTGTCGTAATTCAGCAAGCGTAAAGTTCACTCCGAGGTTATGATGACCTTGATTATGGATGTGGGCGATGACAAGTTTTGAGATGTGATGTTTCTTCGGTAATATGACAGGGTGTCTGGCATCGTAAGGTAGATTGGACATTTCTAGTCTCGAACCGACACGTAGGATTCCATCACTGTCCACAAAGGGCGACAATCTCCACAGCGGACGGCTTTTCAAGACACTTCCTACTCCTCTCAAGGTTGTCAATTCCTCCAAAATGCGTTCCCTTTGGGTTTCTCGAACCCAGTACCTTTGCGTTACTGATTTCCTCCGGTTCTAGGACTTCCAGTGAGTCGTTTCGCTTGTGTCCGGTCTCCTGGCTTTTCTGAAGTCTTGCTCTTTTACTTTTGGAAATGAATCTGAAGATCCAAGCTGTAACTCCTAACAATCGGTGCCAGGAAGAAAACCTCTCCATGTCAAACAAGGGCAGGGACTGCTTGCATTGAAACGTGAGGTTCATTTTACCAGCTCTTGTTTACCTTCCTCACTGCAATCACTCAAAAAGAGGCGGCTTTCTAAAGGCCAGGATGTCTCCCCTCATGTACAAAGGCAGGTCCCTGGAAGCAGCGACTTTCAACAGATACGTTTTTCAGGTCCAGACCTCTTGTTGCGTCGTCAGTGGGGTTTTGTTCTCCTGATACATGTCGCCACTGAGTTAGATCCGATTTTCGTGGAATTTCGGCTACTAGATTAGCAACAAACGATTTCAGTCGTCTTGAGTTACCCTGGATCCAGTAGATTACGTCCATACTGTCCGTCCACAGGGTGTGTTGACTTAGGGGAATTTCTAGCTTCTCAAATACCGTTTCAGCTAACCGCACTCCGAGTACTGTTGCGATTAACTCAAGGCGAGGGATGCTGACGGACCTAATCGGTGTTACTCTTGCTTTGGCTGTTACCAGGGCTACTGAGATCTGTTCACTCACGTGTCCGTATCTGGCGTAGCTTACTTCGGCATAGGCTAGTCTTGACGCGTCAACGAATGTCTGAAGTGAGACGTCTTCCACTGCTTCCTTGTGGTGTCGATAGCAACGTGGGATTTTGACCTGTGGAGCTTCAGGCAACTGTTTGGCCCACTGAATAGTGGTGAACTTTAAATCGTCAGGAAACTCTTCATCCCATTCAAGACCTCGCAACCAGGCTTCTTGTAATGCCATTTTTGCTCTGATGATGTATGGCGCCAAGAACTGAAATGGATCAATCAGTGTAGCAATACGACTTAACATGTCTCGCTTCGTGTAAAAGGACAGGTTGATTTCTTTGACAATAAACGTGAAAACATCTTCACTCGCATTCCAGTGGACTCCTAATGTCTTGACACTCGGTAGTTCTCAGTCGTCAACCTTTACTCCAGTTGCTCGATCATCTTGAGGGATTTCTTCTAGCGCCTCTGGTCGATTACTACACCACTTTTGGGCACGGAAACCAGCGCCGCCCAGGACCTTTGGCAAATCTTCACGGACGAGAAAGGCGTCTTATACAGTTTCTTTTGAGAGAAGGATATCATCCGTGTACATATCTCGGAGCAGGACCATAGCTGCTGTTGAGTAGTTCTCTTTAAAGTCTAGAGTGTGGCCGCGAAATACGAACTGGGCGAGATAAGAGGATGCTCTGTCTTCAAAGGTTGAACGGACTGCTTCATAGACATCCGCAGGCTTTGTGGGATCGAGATCTCTCCATAACAGTCTATGATACTTGCCGTCTTTCTCAGCGAGGACAACCTGAGAAAACATTTCCTTGATGTCCGCCAAAGTACGCATAGTGTTTGACTCGGCTGCACGTCGCAAGGGCGTTTCCTTGATGTCCGCTACTAGGGCGACAGGTCTCAGTCTAAATTGGAGAAGAATCTCCAGGACATCTCGTTGAAGTTTACGCCTGGTGAGTATCGCGTCATTCAAGGAAACGCCCTTGCAACGTGCAGTCGGGTCAAAGACTATGTGTACTTTGGTGGTCTCCCTATCTTCCCTAATGACTGGAAAGTGTGGGAGGTACCAGCTTGGACCGTCTTCTGCCTCGCTAGTTTCTAACTTCCGACGCAGCCCTTCTCGACATTCAAGTTCATTGCTTCTTTGTGAGGTCTCGCAACTTCTGGCTTCTTGAGGAGGTTTTTCTCTAAAGAGAACAAACGTTTCTCTCCTTCCTCTCTATTACAGCGGAACCCCGGTTTAACGATCTTTGGTATAATGATATTCCCGGTATAACGATCAACATTCGTTTGCCCAGCAGACGTTATAGTAATATGTATGGGGCAAAACCTCGGTATAACGATCTTTGGTATAACAATATTCCCGGTTTAACGATGGGAATGTCGTTGACTGAGCACAAAATATTTCCGGTTATAACGATAAAATCAATATCACAGACCACAGGATATAGTATAACAAAATAAAACCTTTATTACATTAACTATATTATCATCAATGTTTCTGTCAACAGTAATGAGTGGTCTTTCTACTCTCCAGTAGCCAATGTCAATTGACGTAAGTTAAGCCGCTTTATCTGACTTATCCTCGTTGTCCATTAATGGTTCCCGTAGTTTGAATATCTTTGAAGGCTTCTTGTGTTGGAAACTGTACGTTGCGGGGATTTCAAGGCCTTTGTTTCTACGTTTGCCAGTAGCTGTAACTGAAATCCGCCCTCCGTGATTCATGAATAGATGAAATATGCGGGATAGAGTCGATGGCACGCGTCCGACGATGACTTCCTTGCGCCTCCTTTTCTCCTCCACTCGTTTTATGGCAATAGCATGAGTATCATGAGGATTATCTGTTTCGTGCTGTGGCAAAACGAAGACTAAATGTTTGCATTGACAAATATTTTGCATGCAGTCTTTGTCTGAACAAAACGATCAGCCATAATTCCTGGTTTCGCGCGCAACAAGTGAGTGCCCCTACCTCACAATCTAGAACTTCACCGATAGCTGCATCGCAGACGTCCTTGTATTCGTGCTATCCTCGTATACAAGAATTGAATAAATACGTAGATGAGTCCATGATTCTCCTTGGTTTCTTAGCAAACGGAAAATATTGGTCACCGGGATTCACGATGTTGCGAAACGAGAACGTGAATTTCACCGCGAAGTTTATTGCATGGAGACTCTGCTACACATCACCTGACAAATCATTTCCGAATTAAAACACCCTCACTCGAAGAGTATTAACCTTGGATGAAAAGTATCACGTCGTGAAAGAAATCGAAAGTGGAAAGAAACAAGTCGACGTTGCACAGCGCTTTGACCCCCCTTTGTCTCAATCCACTGTTGCAACCATTATACAGAATTAAAAGAGGATAATCAGTGCTTATGAAGAAGGATTGTTCACGAACAAGCGCAAGAAAATGACGCTGTCGTATTATGCTGATGTGGACAAAGCACTAGCAGAGTGGTTTAAAAGAGTGCGACGCATTAATGTCCCAGTTAGTGGTCCGCTTTCGGCAGAAAAAGCCCTGTACTTTGCCAAGCAACTCGGCTACAAAGACTTTAAGGCAAGCGCTGGATTTCTAGACCGCTTTAAAGAAAGGCAAGGAATCACAGGACAACATATTTGCGGCGAAGAGAAAAGCGTCGGTGCAGATATAGTGAGCACGTGGGCAGAACGTCTCCCAGACGTTTGCCGTAGCTACGAGCCCAGAGACCGATTTAACACGGACGAGAGTGGAAAGCAACTCCCACTCAAACAATCCATTTTAAAGGTCAAAAGTGCAGCGGGGGAAAGAACAGTAAAGAACGTATTACCGTTCTCGTTGCTTGCAACCAGGACGGGACAGACAAGCTACCACTATTAGTTATTGGGAAATATGCTGAACCACGCAGTTTCAGAGGAAGCAGCATGGATTTGCTCCTTGTAATTTACAAGTCGCAGAAGAATGCATGGATAGACAGTGTAAAATTCGAAGAGTGGGTTCGAAAAGTAGATCGGAAGATGAGAGCGGCAAACCGGCAGATCCTGTTGTTTATTGATAACTGTACAGCACACATGTCAGTGGCGGGCTTGACAAACACGCGATTAATATTTTTCCCGCCAAACTGCACAAGCAAGCTTCAGCCTGCAGACCAGGGAATTATACAGAACCTAAAGGTACATTACCGCCAAACAATGATCCGCAGAACTTTGCAGTATGTGGATGAGGACAAGCCTATCAAAGCGATACACCTTAAGGACGCTATCTTCATGGCAGCCAAAACTTGGGACAATAGGGAGTTTAAGCAAATCACTTCGGCTGGTGCTACTACGGCTGCCGTGACTAAAAAGGTCTGGGGAGAGTACGTCTCGGCGGTCTGCCAAATTTTAAGTGTAGGGTGAAAAAAGCAACACAAAGATGAAAGAAACATCGACTAAGGAGTTCGAAATCTCTTTTATTTAGTTTCTCACAGCCAAATGGCTTCGCTCAAAGGACCATGGCCGCGTTATCCGCCTACCTAGGACGAGCAGATTATTTCTGAGCGAAAGCGAATGCCAGACACTTTGTACCATAACAATTTGATGGATGAAATGTATAATTTCAGAGACAAATATCTCAAAGAATATCGAGTGAAGAACACAAATATATCATTACTCAAAGAAGCAAAATAGCACCGTATAGTTATCCAGATATAAAACATCTTCACTAAACCCTCAAAGCAAACTTAACCCAAGGAAAACAACCTCGTGCTCAGCACGAATATTTCACTTGACTCACTTCGCCATTCCAACACCTTTGCCAAAACTTATCGTAAATTCAGGATACGGATTTACAAGCTTATGAGAGGCAAC